TGATCATGGCTCTCCACAATTTCCTCTCCTTTGTAGCTCTTAATAAATTTTGTCTTTTTCTTATTTCTCCTTAACCCTGTTCTGCTATCCATTTACTCAAGCTCATTCTTCGTCTTCTATGTGCCGTGTCTCTTCAGGACATTGGTGATCATGGCTCTCCACAATTTCCTCTCCTTTGTAGCTCTTAATAAATTTTGTCTTTTTCTTATTTCTCCTAAACCCTGTTCTGCTATCCATTTACTCAAGCTCATTCATCGTCTTCTATGTGCCGTGTCTCTTCAGGACATTGGCGATCATGGCTCTCGACAATTTCCTCTCCTTTGTAGCTCTTAATAAATTTTGTCTTTTTCTTATTTCTCCTAAACCCTGTTCTGCTATCCATTTACTCAAGCTCATTCTCGTCTTCTATGTGTCGTGTCTCTTCAGGACGTTGGCGATCATGGCTCTCCACAATTTCCTCTCCTTTGTAGCTCTTAATAAATTGTTTTTCTTACTTTTCTTTTATTCAGGACATTCTCCTCTCCTTTGTAAAATTTTGTCCCTCCTAAACCCTTCTGCTATCCATTTACTCAACCTCATTCTTCGTCTTCTATGTGCCGTGTCTCTTCAGGACATTGGTGATCATGGCTCTCCACAATTTCCTCTCCTTTGTAGCTCTTAATAAATTTTGTCTTTTTTTATCTCTCCTGAAATCTTTTCTATGATCCGTTTACTTAACTTATAAAAAAGAACAGTGAAACCAATTCTAGCAGTCGTAATAGTAGTAATAGCAATAGAAGAAGAAGAAGAAGAAGAAGAAGAAGAAGAAGAAGAAGAAGACAATAAATAAATCAATTTAACTTGTACATATATTTATGGCTCAGATCACTGCAAAAGTTTGTGCTCAAGTTCAATTGTTAATATCAAATAACCGCAAGTTGATACAGGCATTTTTGGTGCCGATTTCTAGTGTGTTCAGGATTGAATCCTTGCATCGTTGAGTTATAAGTCAGACTTCGTTGAATGGTGACGCTTCGTCTGAAAATAAATGTCAGATACATGGAGAATGAAAAATTGCACCTTCGCCATATTGCAGCTCTCAACAAATTCCTTCTCTCTGCCACCTTCCCCAAAACACGTTCTGACATCCACTTGCTTAAGGCCACTATGCATGTCATGCGTTGTTTTACCTTGTCTCTCTTTCCCTCTATTCGACCCGTGAGTATCAGATTCTCCAGACCTACCTTCCTCATTATGTGTCCAATAAACTTCAGCTGCCTCTTCCTGACGTTAAGTATAAGCCTCCTCCTTGTTTGCAACCTCTCTAAGACCTCATCGTTGCTCACACGCTCAGCACTTGATATTCCTCAGCATCCTTCTCTAGAACAACATCTCTGTCGCCTGGAGTCTCTTCTTCATCTTTGAGAAAATCGTCCAACATTCGATGCCGTAAGGACGGACAGATGTCATGTAACAGCTCAGTATTCTTTTCTTTGTTAACAAAGAAATCCTTCTGTTTCGCAATACTCCATCGGAACCAAAAATTTCGAAGCCACCTATTCGATTCGTGAGTATCAGATTCTCCAGGCCCTCCTTCCTCATTATGTATCCCAGAAACTTCAGCTGCCTCTATCTCATATTAAGTATAAGACTCCTCCTTGTTTGCATCTTCTCGAAGACCTCATCGTTGCTCACATGCTCGGTCCATGATATCCTAAGCATCCTTCTGTAGAACCATATCTCCGTCGCCTCAAGTCTCTTCTTCATCTTTGAGGAAATCGTCCAACATTCGATGCCGTAAAGAAGGACATCCTTCTGTAGAACCACATCTGCTGGAACTTTAAATAGCATTTCTTTATGTTCCCTGTACTGTATTCCTTGAGGGCTTAGGTAATCATGGCTCTTCACATTTTCTTGTCCTTTGTAGAAGTTAATAAATTTTTGTCTTTTTGTGCCGATTTCTGGTGTGTTCGAGATTGAAACCTTGCATCGTTCATTTCCGAGTCAGACTTTGTTGAATGTTGACATTTTCTTCACATATGACTGTCTGAAAGATGGAAGATGAAAAGTTGCACTTTCGCCAGACTAAGTAAGCTATAGGAATTTCGAAATGACCTAAGCGTCGGAACTACAATAAAAAGGATGTTCGTGATAAGCAATGTGAAAAATTTACTGCTGTCATACGTAGAAGACTTATACAGCGAGAAATAACATAAAATTCTTTTCTACAATCCGTTTACCCATCCTTAGTAAATAGGTTATGGATTATCTTCTTCTTCTGAATTTATCTTCATTCTGTCCTGTGAGTATCAAGTTTGTGTTGTTAGAGATGAGAAAGGTGAAATGGAAATGTGATGAATAGAAGACCCCAACAAAAAAGAACAATGAAACCAGGTACAGTAGTGATAGTAATAGTAGTAGTAGTAGTAGTAGTAGTAACAGTAGTAGTAGTAATAGTAGTAGTAGTAACAGTAGTTGTAATAGTAGTAATAATAACAGTAGTAATAGTAGTAACAGCAGTAGTAGTAGTAACAGTAGTAACAGTAGTAGTAGCAGTAACAGTAGTAACAGTAGTAGTAGTAACAGTAGTAATAGTAATAGTAATAGTAGTAACAGTAGTAGTGGTAGCAACAGTAGTAGTAGTAGTAATACATGTGGTAGTAACAGTAGTAGTAGTAACAGTAGTAGCAGTAGTAACAGTAGTAGTAGTAACAGTAGTAGTAACAGTAGTAGTAGTAACAGTAGTAGTGGTAGTAATAGTAGTAGTAGTAATAGTAGTAGTAACAGTATTAGTAGTAGTAATAGTAGTAGTAGTAACAGTAGTAGTAATAGTAGTAGTAACAGTAGTAGTAACAGTAGTAGTAGTAATAGTAATAGTAGTAACAATAGTAGTAGTAGTAACAGTAGTAGTAGTAGTAATAGTAGTAGTAGTAACAGTAGAAAAAGAAGAAGAAAAAGAAGAAGAAGAAGAAGACATTTAAAAAGAGAAGGCAAATAGGACAACATCAAATGATTGGAAAAGGTGGAAAAGAGGACAAAGTGAATGATTCCCCCAGGACATTAAAATTAGGGAAGAACTATATTTAGAAAGATGGGACCAAACATGATGATTAATGACTGCTGGAACGTCTGTTTATTATTACTGAAATTTAAAAAGGGACAAATCTAATAAGCATTCATCAATCATTCATGCTTTTTTTTGACAGTGAGGTTCACTCTGTACAATCCCGGGAGCCACTCGAAGTAGAGGGTTACAGAGCAAGCGGCACAGCGAATAAGTGAGGAAGATGACGGTTAAACCTTTACTTAAAAAGTTTAAGATTTTAGTGATCTGGAAAACATCCACTTTGGAGTCACTTCCACGAAGCAGTGGTTCAAGCTGTTCGAGTGGAATTTCATTTCACCAATGGAATTGGGAGGGGGTGGTTCGCTACAATGGGAGTGGCATGGCGGGTCCTAGACATGAATGTTCGAACTGGTGGAACTAAGGAATGTCGCTCGTCTGAGCACTTTCCATGGAAGTAGCGACAGAACATTCAGAGGCTTGCTACATTTTGTCTATGAAGGAGAGGTTGTAGACTGGAAATTAAGGGCTAGGTGGCTGCTTCTTAAATATTGTTACAGCTTTTTGTGTATATATGTACTATTGAGTTAGCCCAAATGACTTGACTCATTTTATAGTCCACCAATAAAAGGTTAACCAATCAAAAGACGTAGAACATTTAATCCGTCGTGTATAAAGGCGGCCATTTTGTTTACCCTACCCGAACGTCCAGTGCCAGCTTGTCAGGCGAAGAGAAACAGAAGGACGAACTATGCTCTGCTACTTTTACCAAAATATCCACTGCTAACCTGAACAACGCTTTCCTACTGTCTTCGAAATATTCACTGCTAACCTCTGGATTCTATACTCGAAGACGACCGTCATCATGAACAACAAATATGACAGCAGTACTCCATTTTCGACCTCTTCTGGCTCTAGTAAAGATAGAGGATACTTAGTGAAGCGGTACAGAAAAGCCAAATCATCTTTAGCGATGAATCATATATACGAGATCTACTTGAGGTATGGGTTAAGTAGTCGTTCAAGGCAAGGGGCCTCCCCGAGGAAAGATCCTTTTATCGTGACTGGTGGTAGTTCGAGGTCCGATCGTCGTTGATGGAATGTAACTCGTTTGGCTTTTAAGGTGTTGAATGTAATCAGTCATTTTTTTCCTTCCACTGGAAATCGATGACATACTTTTAAAAATTTACTAGACTTCAAGGTGATGAGACTATAAATAAACCGACTTCCATCGAAATTCGACGTGGTGTAATGGTTAACAAACTTGTCTCGTTAGATCTACTACGAGTGAGTAGAGAGTTCGACCCTCTCTGTGTGCCTCATAATCTTGGCCTTTTGCCATATCGGAACTACGCTTTTCAAAATTACTTGGGTACTTCGATGTAGTGTAAAGGTTAGTGATCTTGTCTCGCTAGATCAATTACGACTGAGTAGTGAGTTCGATCCTCACTGGGTTCTCCATACTTTCGGCCTTGGAAAATAACGTTTGGACACCCCGAGGTGGTGTAATGGTTAGCAAACTTGTTTCGCTAGAACAATTACGACTGAGTAGTGAGTTCGATCCTCACTGGGTGCCTTGTGTCACATCTAAGCTACACTTAGAAAATCACCATTTCTTTATATTTCATAGTGAGATGGATCCTCACTGGGTGCTCCAAACTTTCTACCTTGTGCTATATTTAAGCTACTCATAGAAAATCACCATTTCTTTATATTTCATATCGCTAGATCAAAAAGTGAGTTTGTTCCTCACTGGGTGCTCCATATTTTCTGCCTTGTGCCACATCTAAGCTACTGAACTGAACATTATTATTGCCCGCGAAACGACAGCGTTTGAATATCACATAAACTATCGTGTTTTGTTTGTTTAATCCAATGGATTCTACGACCAAAAAGAAAAAGAAAATGGTCGACTTATACACGAGAAGTAACATAAATCAATCATTGCCCATGAACAATGGATCGAGCGGTGCACAAAATAACCGCTGTGAGATTTGCACGTGAATCACTCGTTGGAAATCAATTGAAAATTGTGGAATTAATTACAACCTCAGTCTAGAAGGATTATTTATGGTCCGATCGGCAGCAAGGCCGAATGTTTAGAGCCCTGACACATTAACCCCTTGATTACCAGAGTAATATAGTAGCGTCCATTGTCATGGCCAGTCGGACTGGAGAAGACATGTCAACAATGACGGCAGCTGTTAACGGCAAATAAATATGGCCGTACGTTTGGCTTAAGTACGAATTGTCATTCTTTATTTTTTTATTTTAGTTCACTCAAACACAAAGCCCAAGTGCCACTCAAACTTGAATGCGAACTGATTGATGTCATTGTAAATTTATTGATTGATTCATTTTTTACGGATTATCAACTTTCATACATTTTCTATGAAATTTTTCGGACATTCAGGCTTTTTAAATGTTGTTAACACTGTTTATTATAAACAGAGCATTTACTTATATATTTTGTATCTATACAAAATAAACAATATATATATATATATATATATATATATATATATATATAAAATATATGATTCCAACACGCTACATAGGTCTCATGTTTCAAATAATTATATTTATGTTCTACTTTTGTATCGAGCACTATTTTTTAAATAATAACAAAATACTAAAGAACTTTGGATTATTTACCTAACGAGTTCTTTCCTATTTTCTATATATTTTCACCACACACACACACACACACACACACACACACACATATATATATATATATATATATATTGCGTATACTTTGGCAGCATGTTTAAAAAACAAAACAAAAACATATGGACATTTCAAACTTAGTTACCTCTCCTGACGTTTAGAAATTAAACCTTAAACTGCACAGTACATTAGCGTTTTTTCACTTCACAGCTAAACAATTTACTATCAGATGAGCACATTTTTGTCTTAGAAAAAAAAAACAACACTCTGATAATGATACTGTGTTAAAAAAATGTTAAAACTAAAAATAAAGGAATATGTATCAACATGGTAATTTTCTCTCTTCTTTGATAAGGGTATTACGCTTGTCCGTGGATATAAGAGGATCCTGTTGAAAATAAGCAGACAAAACTTTTCTAAATTATTTAATGAGTCATATATATATATATATATATATATATATATATATATATATATGAATGAAACAGAGGTAAAACTATACCTAGCCGACGCGTTTCGTCATCTGACGGACACTTTATTGCCTTGAAAAGTTCGTCAGATGAGTAAACGTGTCGGATATGTGCAGATTTTTCTCTTGTCTTTTTTATTCATTTTGCCTCTTTTACAGATAAAATCCATCGGAGAATATTTACACACACACACACACACACACACACACATATATATATATATATATATATATATATATATATATATATGATGTAAATATTTTCCTGTGGCTGTGATAAGAAAATATTGCATGACATTATGGACAGAAAAAGAACGAGAATTAAAAAAAAAAATCCCTAACAAATTTTTCGATGTTCTCTGCGGTAGAGGGCTGATCTTTTTAATCATAAAACGTAATGTGTTCAATTAATGTATATGCATTCCTCTCGCAAGAGATTTGCCTCGGAACACTCGCCATTTTTTTCCGGTTAATGAAGGAAAAACTGCACAAAGACTGTTGTGTATTTTCGTTTTTAAGGGTATTTTTTTTTTTTTTTTTTTTTTGCAAATATTTTTCTTTCAATTTCTAAGAGAAATGTCTTCCCTTGAAACCTTTTACGTTATACATATAGATATACAGCCGTTCTCCATCAACGTGTAGGCCCCGTTCCAGTAACCTGATCGCTAATCGAACTGGTCGTTAGGTAAAAAGTTGTACTTGACCTAAATCTTATGCATGCTAAGCGTGTAATTAATGAATGCGTGGCCGAATGCTCAGAACATTGGCTTTCTGACCCTGTGATCCGGATTAGAATCTTGCCATGGTCGATGGCATTCTTCGTGATATTATCGGATGCGTTGGAAATTGCCTGAAAAGCGTGTTGACCAAGGACTTGAGGGGGGAACTCTGTAGGCGGTTCTTTTCGAGGTTCATCGTGACAGACAGTCTGATCGTACCGGACTTGTACAATCGGTTGATTACGTTTGAATATGCGCTTTTGGAACAAACACAAATAGGTCTGAGCAGGCGCCTGCAGCAGGGATTGTGTCAGCCAGATTCAGAAAAGATTTACTGCCATTTTCTCACCATTTGTAACATTGTGCAAATTATTTAAAACAACCGCTTTAGTTCCCTTTCTTTCACCGTAGTCAGTTTTACACCTACTAGAGTCATAGGGTGTAATTGATTTCTATTTATTCCCCCGTTTAGGTCATTTGCAGTGGTGTGTAGAAATATGAATCTATTTTGGGGTGTATGCTGAAATTTGTTTGGCCTTGATAAATATTACGTCATTCATGATTGCATCATATTTTATATCACGCCTAAACACTATTGCCTCGACTGTTGATTAGTTGTCCTACGGCCATTGACTGCGACGGACGTTACTCCAAGGAGGCGTACGAAAATTGTAATGCTGCACGAACACACTGGCAAGACTTACCAGTGAGCAAATCAAAGTACTAGAGCCTGCCTGGAAACTCTCTTGATTTAAATCCAATCGAGAATATGTGGTAAATCTGCAAGGAAAGACTTCGTGGAATTCGAAGTATTAAAATGTGCACTGGGTCATGTTTCATTGGAAAAATATGAAAAAGAAGTAAATAATAACGGAATCTATATTTCTGAGATGAGGTATTATGTACACTATTTACCTTATTCGGGCTATTGTCCTCATCTTTGTCGCCATATTTATTACAACGTTTCAGTCGTTGTACGCCCTGGCCTTCTTCAGGTGGTTGAACTGAAACTTTTATTACGCTCACTAGGGTACATTGTTCTAGTTCCACGTGCCATGTCTAATGAATGTCAGTTATCAGTTATCTCCTGTTAATTTCCCACTCCATGTTCTCCACCGCCTTAACCAGGTATTGAACTCACAACTCATCGGGTCCTGTCCTTTCATTGGATTTAACTAACGCCTTTATCCACTGTGCCATGTGTCCTTGAGGCGGTGGAGAAGTTGTAGAGGGGAATTAACGGGAGATAACTGATGATTGACATCCATTAGACATCAGATGTAGGCGTCCTTGTTGAGTCTAAGGCACTGTCTAAAGATGAATGGAGATTTCACGACGTCATAAGTAGTGATCACTCCAACCATCCTCATCATCAAGTCGAGAATTCTTTTCTCCTGACACGTCCCTTCCATCCATGTCTCTCAGGTAGGTCGGTAGGTCCACCAGATCGCAGCCAGTGTCATCTACAAGTTGGTCAATGTAGGTGTCTTGAGTTCCTCCAACCGATCTTTTGCCGCGCAATGGGTTCCATAAGTTCCGACTTACTTCTCCAAGAGTGACCAGCTCGCCGACGCCTTCTCTCTCTTAGCAAAACTGAGATAGGAGGAAGGTGTCCATACAGGGGTTTTCATAACCACCAATAGACTCATCCAACTCTCCGAGTCCTCTACACTATCCTCAGACTGACATCCAAACACTCCGTATTGGAGCTTCCGGTACATTAAAGTTTGCAAATTTCTGGCGGGTTTGAATTGCTGTGTGTGGTCTTTTCCTAATTGGGCCTACTATAGAATGCAGTCGATAAAATCAAAAACAAACAACGCGCATGCGCGAAATTAAAAATATAAAATGGCGGTTTAGCATGTGTCCAGAAAAGAAATAATTTCTACAACCAGAAAAGAAATCATTTATACGATTCAAAAATTGAATAAAAAGCTTAATGCCAGTACCTTGTCAGTCGTCTTTAATGAAACTTTTATATATATCTATCTTTTTATATATATATATATATATATATATATATATATATATATATATATATATATATATATGTCTTTGTCATGTTGTATTGATAATGTTATAATTCATGAATATGTCCTGAAGATGGTTTATTAGACCGAAACGTCCGACATTAACATATTAACATTAAAACAGTATAAATTGTATATAAGGATTTTTGTTTGTTTTTTCCGTATATATTTTTCTTCATATGTATATATATATACAATTAAGTAATTCATTGAGTCTGAAATAAACCTCAATAGAATGCAGAAAGCACTGGGCGTCCTATATTTGGGACTCATCAGCAGTGCGCATCCACTACCGAGAATTGAAACCCTGACAGTTAGGACATATATATATATATATATATATATATATATATATATATATATATATATATATATAGTGTGAGGAAAAATATACCTTTTATGTAGTTTATGCTTTTTTAGTTGCCAGAGCCAAATAGAGGTTTGGGAAATTAACAAATTTCGGCTATTGCTGCCGTCTTCATGGGGGTTTGATATCAAAAATTGCCCAAGGCTACAAGTGTGGCCGAATATATATATATTTTTATTTCCCAAAGATTTATTGTACTCCTACATGTCAAATAAATTATAATAAAACTTTAAAATATATACAATAAATATATTAGTCATCATTTTCTCTGTCAATCTATCTATCTATCTATCTATCTATTTCGCACTCTAACACTTTTCCTCTCTCTGTACATACACGTCCACACACGCGCACGAACACAAATATATATATATATATATATATATATATGGGGGGGGGTAGTACTGATACAATATGGTAATCCGTATGGAATTTGCAAGAGGATATCGATCCAGGGAGAGCTCTATGTCAAAGAAAGAGGATAATTATTATTAAAAAAAAACAAACACTTAATTTTAAAATTTTTTTAGGTCTTGAAAACTGAGAGCTGCTTTTTTAGAGTTCTCATGAAATGAAAATTATACATATATATATTGTTGTGGTACGATCCACCTAATTTACATAGTGGAGTACCGACCATATAAATATGGGTTGGTACCGGGAAGACGAGGGAAGAAGTAAGAAGAGATCCAATCGAGAGACTCTGCCCGACTGCGATTAAGTCAACCCATTCTACAGGAACAGTCTTCCCAAGAATATACCAAAACTAACTGTAAATATTGTGTACCTTTTCCTTGTTTCAATACATTTTGTTTACGTACATTTTGTGTTGTATTATTATTATCCGATGCTTATCAAAGCTTCAACATATATATATATATATATATATATATATATATATATATATACATGCACACAAAGTATGTGTGTGTGTGTGAGAGAGAGAGAGAGAGAGAGAGAGAGAAAGAAAGAGAAAGAATGAATAGAAGTAAAATGTTTTCTAGCTTAGCTGATTGATGTTACCTTCAGCATCCAAAATCCGTAGATATGTCCTTCTGGGATCAGTCCGTCCATTCGTCAGTGGGTAATTGACTGGATATACACTTTTTGAAATGCACTTTTCATTGGTGTAAGTTTTTTTTCTCTCTCATTATGTATATGCGAATGCATGGGTGAGTTCGTGTGGCCATGCGCCCGTCTGTGCGTTCGTGTAGAATGTTGTTGTTATTTGTCCTTTTCGTCGTTTTTTTTCACTTTACACTCACACTTTATTGATTTTTACCTATATATATATATATATATATATTAGAAAACCATACTTTCTGAGACCGCGGATTCTACTAAGCAGTAAATGAAGAATTTACTACATCGATATGAGAACTCTTGAAATTATGTATTTTCTTTTTTTTTTAAGCTTTTTCATTAATTTAACCAGTTTTTGAGAAATGATTTTTTTTTTTTTGGCAAAATTTGGTGTTTTAAAATTATATATACAGAGTGTATCAAAAATACTTTCACAAACTTTGGGGCGTGTTCCTCACACTAAACAAGGATATATATATAAATTTAATATAATAATTGGCTCTCCCGTCAGTTTCGACGTATGAGGATCTGACAGACTATTGATTCAGTTATGAAATTTTGTGCGATAATCTTAAGCGGCATTTAAGTCCCGCTAGTGATTTACAAAGGAGGCCACATATGGAGCAAGTGTGAGGATTGTGAGATGAGATCACTGTTAGATTGGCTGACCTTTTAGATCTTGCTCTCGTTTCTTGAAGATGATTCAGAAAAGCAGATTGAAAATTGCTGAGTCCACTAAAATACGTTGATCTCCATTCTACCCGCTCAAAGCTAAAATTAATATATATATATATATATATATATATAAATTTAATATATATAAATTTAATATATATGTAAATTTAATATATATATATATATATATATATATATATATTTAATATATATATAAAATTTAATATATATATATATATATATATATATATATATATATATATATATATATCCTAAAGTAGAATAAAATGAATACTAATTATCTAATAAAAACCTGTTGTGGAGTAAATAGTACACTCCTGGTGATGATATGTACTAGACCATAACTATAAATAAAAAGCTCCAGCTCAGAGGTAATCAAAAGAACCCGTTTTTGGAGTCAGTCTTCAAACTAATTAATACAGGTGTGACTGCAAGTTGCCAAACCATTGTATATATTATAAGTGCTACGAAGCGCGTTATAAGAGTGACGATGAGGGATTCAAAACTCGAGCGATTTATAAGCGTTGTGACGAGGATTCACGAACTCATATGAGTTTTAACTGGACTTACAAGGATTTTGGAAACTCATACTGAGTGAACAAATATGGGAAAATATACTTGTTGCTTCGGGAACAAGAATACGGTTGCCAACAAAAGTTTTAACCACGTTGGTTTAAAAATAAAAAAAAAATGTCTTGTGTAGAAGAAAAAAAAGTAAAAAAGGAAGTAATCTACCAAACAAACTTGTGTTAATGGATGGCTGAATAGAGACTGGAAACGATATTAATGAAATAAACATTATTAGAAAGGAAAAGGTGGAGAGCCATTATCCCGTACGTTCTGAAGAGTCATGGTACACGTGTAGTAGATAGTATACCTCTGTTGACTATCTGAACTAGTCTATAACTATAGATAAAAACTTCCAGGTCAGAGGGAGACGGAAGAAGCCGCCGTTTGGAGTCAGTCTTCAGATTAATTAATACAGGCGTTATGGCAAGTAGCTGAAGCATTACTTATATTATATTACGAAGCGTGTTATAAGAGAGGGATACGAAACTCAGGTGATTTATAAGCGTTGTGACGAGGATTCAGGAACTCATACTAGTTGTAACTGGACTTACAAGGATTTTGGAAACTCATTCTGAGTGAACAAATATGGGAAAATATACTTGTTGCTTCGAGAACAAGGATACAGGTGACGACAAGAATTTTAACCACGTTGGTTTAATTTTTTATAATGTGTAGAAGAAAAAAAACTCCTGGGTGTAAGAAAAAGAAAAGATTCTTGCGAATGCAGAACAAATTTCGGCTTCGGTTGTTGAAATTCAACAGCAACAACAAACATCAGCAACAACAAAATCAACAGTGTCTAGAAATAGAAAAACAGCAACAGGAGTTGTTGGATATAATTTTGAAGAAGACAAAAAAAATTCTTCAACCTCTCTTACGGCAGACGCTGTCCAAAATAACATATCAGAATTTGTATATAATCCTGATGGCTGTTTTTTTTCGTAGATATGAACAAATATTCAGTCAGGAATGCAGCGGCAGAGAAGATGTGAGAAAAACGAGATTGTTGTTGAGAAAAATAGTTCCGATAGAGTATGAAAAATTCTGCAGCTACATATCCCCACCACCACCAAAAAAAAAGGTGAAAATTGAGTTTGAAGACACGGCACACATTCTGACAAAAATCTTTAGTGACAAGAGCCCCCTGTTTAATGCTCGTTGGAGATGCATGAATCTAACCAAACAGAGGAGGAAGATTTTGTCATGTATGCTGGTATACTCAACAAAAAACGTGAAAAGTTTAGAATAAAGCAAATAAAGGTATGTTCAAAAGGTTAATTTTCGTCCAAGGTTTAACAGCTAAAAATGATGCTGAAATACCAGTAAAAATTTTAACGAAAATTAAACAAAACACTAATATTACACTACAAGATATAGTGGACGATTGTCAGACAATTCTAAGTCTTAAACACGTTGCTGGAGAAATTCAGAAAAAAGAACGTACATTGGTACAAGCAGAGGACGAAGGTACAGAAAGGAGAATAAACCCTTGTTTCAGATGTGGTAAATTATATATTTGAAAAGACTGTCCATTTAAAAATGCAGAATGTTACAAGTGTGGTAAAAGTAGACGTATAAAGTCACACTGCAAAACCAGTCCAAGAAAAAATTCTCACAGGAAGAAATTCGTATACATCATTGCGACGGAAAAATGGTCACAGAAATCTAAAAGGAACTTCTGAATATGAAAATAAATAATAAGGGTGTGAAAATGCTATTAGAAACTCATAGTTATATTTCAATAATCAGTGAAACTAAATGAAAGGAAATTGGAAAACCTTTATCGCAAAGAACTTCCAAAGTCGCGATTTCAGTTTCTAGTGATCATTTTTTTAAAGAAATAACTTGTAATATTTAATTCCGTAATATTCATTAAAAACTATAGCCCTTGCATTAAAAAGGTTACGAAATTATTCCATACTAACTGGATGTAGCTATTTGAACTTTGGGACTTGGCGATAAACGTTTATTATAAAAAGTAATTTAAAAAGTCAGAGTGAAAATCTTAAGAAAGAATTAAAAACATTTGGCACAGACCAAAGGCTTCCCATACTTCATACTTCTCCAATTCACTCACGTGTGGTCATGTGTGATGTCATGAGATTCGTTCCTAGCGTCTTATATGTACGTGTTTATCGTTGCTTAGAGATCATCCATGTAAACAATAACAGACTATCATCACTGTCTTGTCCGTATATTGCTTAATATGTTGTAATTGACATCTTTGGTAATGGCTTATGTAAGCCGAAAGCGTAGATTGTATTAAAAAATATGGATCAATATTGTGAATTTCTTTCTTCGTTCAAACTTATTAAACTTATTAGACGTTATGAAAAGAGTTTACATAAAATAAATAGACAACACTTGTCTATATTATTTAATGAAACGTGTATATATATATATATATATATATATATATATATATATATATATATTAGGATATTACACCGAAAATCAAATCAAAATAGCTACCCAGTTGCATTCGTGTTTCGATGCGTATCAAATGCATCTCATCAGGCAATTGTAAATTACTGGCGAGTGAATGATTTATTTAGATTTAAATGCAGAATACATCCTCTTTTTACCAAAAAAAAGCAAAAAATGCGGGTTTATAAGGTTTGTGGGCTTTACTCTGATCAACCAATCAAATATGACTTTATATATATGAGTTATCTCCTGTTAATTCACCTCTCCAAGTTCTCCACTGCCTTAACCAGGTATTGAACTCGCAGCTCTTTGGATCCAGTCACTGGATAATAAGCAACGCCTTTATCCAGTTAAATCAGCGACAAGACCCAAAGAGTTGTTAGTGGTGAATTAACAGGGGATAACTGATAATTGACATCCATTAGACATGGCACGTGGAACTAGAACAGTCTAGCTCAGTGAGCGAAATAAAGGGTTCCCAAAAACTTGAAGAAGGACAGAGCGTACAGCGGCTGAAACGTTGTGATAAATATAGTAACAAAGATGAGGACACTAGTCCGAATAATGTAAATAGTGTGCATAATACCTCATCTCAGAAATATAGACAGATACTGAAGGGCCGAAACGTTGTAATAAATATGGCGACAAAGATGAGGACAATAGTCCGAATAATATAAATAGTGTGCATAATACCTCATCTCAGTAATATAGACAGAAACTGTAAAATCAGTTTGGCCAGTTTTTTGCATTTTTACTTGGATTTTTTTTTTCTACATATCAAGTTTAACTAGAATCTATTGATAATTTCACATAAATAATTATATTTTAGCTCATTTGTGGTATAAAGCAGAGGCGTGGTGGATGAACACGTTAGTCGAATCCGGCCCGCAGGCCGTAATTTGGTGACCCCTATATTATATCATTGCTCTTTTTCTTTGTAACTGCATATCACTTATTCCAGCCGAGTTATCTCCCTTGTCATTTTCTTTTTTTATTTGTCTCTCTCTTTTTAACACATTTTTCATTTGTCTTTCTATCACACTTGCTCCTCTCTCGAGGTCTTTTTTATTTTTCTTCCTGAACGTTGTCCCGCTTTTGCAGATGAATTATCGCCCTTGCAATTTTCTAACACCCCCCCCGCTCCTTTCTATCTAGCCTACTCTCTATCATTCTTCTGCTTCTTTTTCCTCTTTCTTTGTAACTACGCCATTGCAAGTCAATTTATGTTCGTTGTCAAAATCTTTTTCTCTTTCTCTCTCTCTCTCCTTTACAGCTAAGCTTTCTCCTTTTCATTTAATATGCCCGCCTCTTTTCTCTTTTCTTCCTAAACCCCTTACCCCCTCCTTTACAGCTGCTTTCTCCCTTTTCATTTAATATGCCCCCCTCTCTTTCTCTTTTCTTCCCCTTTGCTTTTCTCCTTTTCATTTAATATACTTCCTAACTCTTTTTCTTCCCTAAACCCCTTACTCCTTTACAGCTAAGCTTTCTCCTTTTTCATTTAATATGCCCCCCTCACCTTTCTCTTTTTCTTCCCTTTTCCTTACAGCTAAGCTTTCTCCTTTTTCATTTATATGCCCTCTCTTTTCTCTTTTCTTCTTGCCCCTTACTCCTTCTAACCCCTCTCTTTTCTTTTACACCTTTTCCAAGCTTTTCTCCTTTTCATTTAATATGCCCCCCTCTTTTCTCTTTTCTTCCTAACCCCTTACTCCTTTACAGCTAAGCTTTCTCCTTTTTTTTCATTTAATATGCCCCCCCTCTCTTTTCCTTTTTCTTCTTCCTAACCCCTTACTCCTTTTTTCAGCTAATATTTCTCTCTCTTTTCTCTTTTTTCATATTTAATATTCTCCTTTTTCCCTTTTCTTTTTCTTCCCTTTACTTCCTAACTTTTCTCCTTTTTCATTAATATACCCTTATTTACAGCTAAGCTTTCCTTTTCATTTAATATGCCCCCCTCTCTTTTCTCTTTTTCTTCCTAACCCCTTACTCCTTTACAGCTAAGCTTTCTCCTTTTTCATTTAATATGCCCCCCTCACCTTTCTCTTTTTCTTCCTAAACCCCTTACTCCTTTACAGCTAAGCTTTCTCCTTTTTCATTTAATATGCCCGCCTCTCTCTTTTTTCATCCTAACCCCTACTTCCCCTTTCTCCTTTTCTATGCTTTCTTTCTCCTTTTTCATTTAATATGCCCCTCTCTTTTCTCTTTTTCTTCCTAACCCCTTACTCCTTTACAGCTAAGCTTTCTCCTTTTTCATTTAATATGCCCGCCTCTCTTTTCTCTTTTTCTTCCTAACCCCCTTACTCCTTTACAGCTAAGCTTTCTCCTTTTTCATTTAATATGCCCCCCTTTTCTCTTTTTCTTCCTAACCCCCTTACTCCTTTACAGCTATGCTTTCTCCTTTTTCATTTAATACGTCTCCACTCTCTCTTCTCTTTTTTCTTTCTAACCCCCTTACTCCTTTTTCATTTAATGTCCCACTCTCTCTCTCTCTTTATTCTCTTTTTCTTACTAACCCCTCTTATTCTTTTACAAGGTTAGCTTCCTCCTTTCTCATTTATTATATCCTCCTTTTCTCTTTGTCTCTCTCTTTATTCTTTCTCCTTTTCATTCTCTATCTAACCAATCTCCTTTTCATTTTACCTCCCTCTTTTCTTCTAAATCCATACTTATAAGTCTAGCTTTCTCTTTTCTAATTTGCCATGTATTACCCCCCTCTCTCTCTCTCTCTCTTTATACTCTTTTTCTTTCTAACTCCTTCACTCCTATACCTGCTTCACTTTCTACTTTCTCATTTACTATACCCATTTCTCTCTCCTCTCTCTCTCTCTCTCTCTCTCTCCCTCCCTCTCTCGTTATTCCCTTTTATCGAAGCACCATTGCCAGGTTAGCTTTCTCCTTTCCCATTTACTATGCCCCTCTCACTCTTTATTATCTTTTTCTTTCTTACCCCCTTACTCCTTTATTAGCTTAGCTTTCTCCTTTCTCATATATTATGTCCTCCTCTCTCTTTATTCTCTATCTATCTAACCACCTCACTCCTTTACCAGTCTTTCTTCTCACTCATTTGCTATATCTTTCCTTCTCTCTCTCTTTATTCTCTTTTCTTTTCTAACTCCCTTACCCCTATATCTGCTTATCTTTCTCCTGTCATTTACGATGTCCCTCTCTCTTTATTCTCTATCTATCTAAACCCCTTACTCTTTTACCAGTTTGCTTTCTCCTTTCACATTTAACGTGTCTCTCCTTATCACTCTTTTTTCTTTCTAACCACCTTACTCTTTCTTTACTAGTCTAGCTTTCTCCTCTCTCATTTGCTATCTCTCTCTCTCACTCTTTATTCTCATTCTATTTATAACCCCGTTACTCCTTTACCTGCTTACCTTTGTCCTCTCTTATTTATTATGTTCCTCGCTATCTTTTTCTCTCTTTCTATTCACATCTCATTTACTATGCTCCTGACCTCTCTCTTTTTCGTTCTAACCAACTCACTCTTTCTTTATCAGCCTAGCTTTCTCCTCTCTCATCTACTATGTCTCTCTCTCTCTCTCTATTCTCAATTTCTTTCTAACCACCCCACTCTTTCTTTATCACTCTAGCTTTCTCCTCTCTCATCTACTATGTCCCCCTCTCTCTCTTTATTCTCTTTATCTTTCTAACCACCTCACTCTTTCTTTATCAGCCTAGCTCTCTCCTCTCTCATCTACTATGTCCCTCTCTCTCTTTATTCTCTTTATCTTTCTAACCACCCCACTCTTTCTTTATCAGCCTAGCTTTCTCCTCTCTCATCTACTATGTCCCCCTCTCTCTCTTTGTTCTCTTTATCTTTCTAACTACCCCACACTTTCTTTATCAGTCTAGTTTTCTCCTCTCTCATTTATTATGTCCCTCTCTCTCTCTTAATTTCTTTCTAACCACTTCACTCTTTCTTCATCAGCCTAGCTTTCTTTTTTTCATTTAATATGTCCCTCTCTCTTCTCTCTTTCTTTCTAACCCGCTTACTCCTTTACAGCTTCGCTTTCTTCTTTTTCATTTACTATGTCTATCTCTCTATCTCTCTCTATTCTCTTTCTCTTTCTAACCACGTCACTCTTTCTTTACCAGCCTAGCTTTCTCCTCTCTCATATACTATGTCCCTCTCCCTGTCTCTCTCTTTCTTTTGTCATTTTCTTTCTTGCCGCCTTACTAATTTACCAGCCTAGCCTTCTCATTTTTCAGCTTCTATATTCTTCTCACTCTCATTCTCTCTTAGATTCGTTCTTTTTCTTTCTTTTTTTCTCTCTCTCTCTAAACCGCCTCTCCCTTTAGCCGGCACAACGACCGAAAAATGTCATGGTTAAGACTATAAATAACCATTTACCACCAGGATAAAGTTTCCCCCGCTTTGCAAAATTCAACGCCACGAAAAGGTTTTACATCATTTCCAATCACGTAACAACCTGGATAAAAAAAAAAAAGCATCAAACAATTGCCAAGACAACGATGGGTGATTTGACAGCGAAATCGTATTTCAGACACCACTTGATTGTTTTTTATGTTTTCCGTCCGCGCCAAGCCAAAATGAATCAGGGTCCAGTCACATTTAATAGCCCAGAAATAGCGTCAAATGACTGCCTCGAGGAAATGGCATTCAATGTAACTAGCCAAGCTCTTGGATCGCCTATGAAATGGACAAAAGCTGTTAGGTGATGAAGACGTTAATTAAGCATTCGAAAGGTTGATGCAAAAGTTTCCAGCATATGCGCGGTATGTCATAACATTCTTTATGTAGCATTATTATATATATTTTTTTAACCCTGTAGATGGCCTGGGAGCCACTCAAGGTAGAGGGTGATGTTAAGGGGTAGTTTATATGGATAGAAGTTAATTGTTAATTTGAACATGTCAAAATTGCCTATATTTCTGAGATGAGGTATTATGTACACTATTTACACTATTCCGACTATTCTCCTCATCTTTGTCGCCATGTTTATCACAACGTTTCGGCTGTTGTATGCTCCAGCCTTCTTCAGGTGGTTGGAATGTCGAACTGAAACCTTTATTTCGCTCACTGGGGTAGACTGTTCTAGTTCCACGTGCCATTTCTAATAGATATTAGTTATCATTTATCTCCTGTTAATTCCCCTCTCCCAGTTCTTCACTGCCTTAACCGGGTATTGAACTCACAATCTTTGGGTTTTTCACTAGATCTAACCAACGCCTTTATCCACTGTGACATGTGTCCTTGTAGTGATCGAAGAAGCTGTTCGAGGGGAATTTACTTCTCACCAATGGAATACGGGGTGGATGTGGGTGGTTTTCTACTATGTAAGTGGACTGCCGGGTCCTAGCCGTGAAGGTTAGGCATGGTGGAACCAAGGAATATACTTCGTCCGAGCACTTTCCATGTAAGTAGCGAGAGAGCAGTGAGAGACTCGCCAAATCCTGAGAGAGAGAGAGAGAGAGAGAGAGAGAGATAGAGGATTGAAGGTGGAAAATGACTCGGAGACGCTTTTGAACTCTATCAAGACTGGAAAATGAGGGCCGGGCAGCTCCCGTCCAAATCAGGAACCTGTACTCCATTTTCGGCCTGATCTAGCTCTTATAAAGGTAGAGGATAGCATAGAAGTGTCAGGTACTTACTGAGGCGGTACAAAGGGACCGATCATTTTACCTGCATCTTTAGCGTTGAATCGCATATAAGAATTCCAAAGGTGTGATTTTGGGGCCTAATTTTTCTCCCAACGCACGGAGCTTCCTTGAGGGGACATCCGTTCATCGTGACTGGCGTTTGTTCCGGGTCTGATTGGCGGTGATAGAATGAAATGTCACCAAATTATTACTGTTGTTTTCTATGTCCTCACGTCATCAATTTTTACAATATAAATGATAGATACGGAATATATTAAGTTGTCCCCTATGTAATGCCGTATTTTTAAAATCATTTCACCCCAAGATAGGCAATAAAGCCACTAGGACGCAAAGAATGTTGAGTGTTAGAGAACAGGAAAAAAACTGCTATTAAGGAGAGAGGACAATGAAAGAAGTCAAAAGATAACGATTGTCATTGAATATAAATTTTTGAAGATCGAAGTTAAGAGGGGAGCCGGAAGATTTTGGGGAATTATAAAATAATACTCTTGTTCACGTTTTTCTTACAATAGAATTTTGTTTTTCTTTCTAAGCCTTTAAATCCTTCACCAACCTTGGTTTCTCTCTTTCTTTCTAACCAACTTACTCCTCCTTTATCAACCTAGCTGTCTCTGTCCTCATTTAATATGTCCCTCTCTTTCTCCCTCTTTTTCTCCCTCTCTCTTTAACTTTATTCGATTGTTCTTTCTAGTCACCTTACTAATTACCAATCTAGTTTTCTCATTTTTTTTCCATTTTCTATATCCCTCCCCTCTATCTCTCTCTCTCTTTCTCTCGCGTTTTTTTCTTTTTCTTTCTAGCCGCCTCTTCCTTTATTCGACGCTCGGGCCGAAAAATACCACGCTTAAGAATATAAAGGCGTAGATCGTGTGTATTTTTAATTTTATCCTATTAAAAAAATGTTTATTCCATTTAAAAATTGCTTATCCCTTTAAAAATTTGTTTATCCCATTAAAATGTGTAAATCCCATTAAAAACTTTACCTCATTAAAAAGTTGTTAACCCCATTAAAATGTGTGTATACCATTAAAAAGTTTATACCCATTAAAAAGTTACTTTCCCATTAAAACTTATCTCATTAAAAATATCTATTCCATTAAAAGTTGTTTATCCCATTAAAAAGCTGTTTATCCTATTAAAAAACGGCTGGACTACAGCTAAACGGGGGTGGGGGTTACGGGCGCATCACAACGTCAAGCCTCAATGAGTGATCACTTGGGATAATTCCAGTTGCTGTAAGCTTGGATGTGCGGGTGGTGTAATGAATTATGGCTCGGAGTTTTTAATCGAAGAGCCGAGTTTCAATTCCCTTCTATTCTCTATATACACTTACCCGCGAATACCAGTGAGAAATGTATGAATCAACCTCTTTCCCCCGGCTATGGGGTAAATAATAAGACTTGTATCATTAAACCATAATTATCTCCAAAAATAAATTAAAAAATTCTTACTACCTAAAACTAATTTCTGGCTTTAAATAACCTGCAAAGGGTTGATAAACCGTAGAAAATGAATCAAAGAATCAATCAACAGTTTAGCGGTGCACGGTTCTGGAGGTAGATAATAAATATAATAGTTATCTAAATAGAACCTATTTGACTAAAAGGGAGACGCAATCTTATCACTGTATTTTGACAAGGACATTGTACAAGAATATCAACATAATTGAACTATTCTATATATCATAGAGTAAAGTTCATCAGAATAATTGCCATGAAGGTATTCATATAAAAGACACAGGTAAGCTATGTTACTGCGATGGGAAAGTGGCTTATGGCGAGATGCCAGAGCAGGACCAATAACATTGCAGATTCTTCTTTGGATTTTATCAAGAATCTCAGACCAGATGTGGCAGCAGTATTCAAATGAAGGACGACTTGTAGATGTAAGATAGATTATGGATAAAAAAATTGTTTAGCACAACACAGTAAAACCAACTTTCTTTGCAACAAACCGAGCAATTGATTCGATATAATCTTCCCAGTTCTTGTCAGCGGAAGGACGCAGTCTCGTGTCTGTATTTTGATAAACACAAATCGAGTCTTATTGAACAAGAGATCCATCTTAATTGAACTGTTCTTTCAACTTTATTTACCGTTAATTGCAATTTGGTTGAATATGAATTACTTACTGAAGCCTGATCTGGCAAAATAGCAGGTAAGGTTATCTTATTTAAATTATTGTTTATTTTGGGGTTTTCTTTTTCAGCCTTTGCCACCATAATTATCAGCATGGTACCATTTATCAGCATGGTACCATTTAGCCACTTGTTTTATTTAAGACTATGTCTTCCTTCAGGACAATGTCGAGTAAATGGTAGCCAAACCTAAGAATGTTAGTTTTATATGTATTATTAAAAAGTTCATTTAAAAGAAATTTAAAAAATATATATACAAATAAAAAATGTATATGTATATGTTGAAACTTGACTAATGCATGGAATAATAATGCAACACAAAATGTACTTAGAACAAAATGTATTGAAACAAGAAAGTGTACACAATATTTACAGTCTTTATATATTTATAGTCTTTTGTATATTCCTGGTAAGACCGTTCCTGGAGAATATGTTGACTGAGTCGCAGTCGGGCAGAGTCTCTGGTTGAATCTCTTGATTCCTCCCTCTCTTCCCGGTACCAACCATATTTATATGGTCGGTACTCCATTATGCAAATTAGGTGGATCCTACCACAACAGTATACATGTAAGTCTTTCTGTTTGTGAATGAACAAAAGAAAATGTATAAGAAAAAAACACTTAGATGTGATGCCAGTGTCAATTCTGATTCATTTTCTGTATCAAAAACAAATGTCGAAAAACGCTAATTATAATATTATATAATTTATGGTGATTTTTTATGCATAGCTTAGATTTGGCAAAAGGCCAAAAGTATGGAGCACTCAGTGAAGATTGAACTCACTACTCGGTCAATATTATATAATTTATGCATGGAGAAAAATCTATATAT